AAATTTAGTTCCGTGAAACAGTTGTATTCCAGGGTATTTTGGGCTGTTTGTATTTCAAAATCCGATTTGTAGAATTACACTGAGATGACTTTTTATAACTCGCTTTTGAAGTTCATCCTGGATTCAAGAACTGCTTTACTTTCGCTCTTTATCTATTTAAAAAGTGTTTTTGGACAATATTTGTGGGTTTGGAATTCTGATGTTAAAAACCACAAGAACAACAAATGTTTWAAAAAAAATTTTCAACACTTTTTTGCCAAACAAAACTGACATCTAGTATTAGATGGGTGATTTTACTTGCGTTTGTTAGAAAGCATCCTGAGCCTCTCTGGATGGCATAGGCTGGTTTTTGGCTTTCAGCCGTGTAGCTGATTGCTKCTGAGGGGCAGAGGTTTCCTGCGGGGGGCTGCAGGAGTGAGTGGCCTCAGCAGGTGCCTGGTCATGAAATGTCTCCCCTGCTTGCCTCCCTTTCAGTCTCCAAATGAGCTTTCCAGAGTACAGAGACGTGGAATTAAGTAGGAGGAAGCATTCCTGGTTTGGCAGTTTTGTAGCTTTCAAGTCTGTGGTGCAGCATCAAGGGAAAAAAAGTCTGGTTTTTTTTGTAGCTCTAATTCATGATTGACTTTAAAAACCTGCCTCATACTAGAWATACAGAATTAAAACAGATCCATCAAGGATTTGGAGAATATTTGTGGTGCTTAGAGATTATTTGGATTATTAGATAGCCAGTTTTGTAATTTTATTGCTATACTCTTCTCTGTGTACATCCTGTTGTGTATTGATTCCATATGGTGACACAGGCACATTTAATAAAGATATGTTCTAAGCATATCCTTTTTTCGCAGGTAATTCTGTACTTTATGGGTGACTGATGCAGGATAATGTTACTAAGATAAGGTTAAATTTGTACTGTAAGAACAAAATCACTTGTGCAGGACAAAAAAATAAAGTGTTAACAAAGTAGCAATGAGATAAATATGTAGTTAATATATAAGAACTTCAAATGGTATTTATGTTTTCTATATTTGTTGAATTTTTTGAAATCTAGGTGAAAAAAAATTAAATGAGTTGATTACAATTGTGACAAGAAATATGGGCTGCCTCTCTTGGTTCTGTGTTGAATATATATGCTGCTTTGGTTCAAATATGTACACACTTTGGCATATGTAACCTTGAGCATGTGTACAAATTTATTGCTTGTAATGGTAATGCACCGTTACAGCATCTAAGAAATGTCAAAACTCAGGTTCTCAGGGTCTGCAGTCTGAAAAAGATTCTTACTTATTTCAAAAGTTCAAATTCCTCCTGTGGTGTTCAGTGTAGATGTTTATTTTTATATACTTGTGGTAATATTGTCCTGCACCTGTGGTAAAATTGCTCTCGTAGCTTCAATCTCACTTCAGTATAGGTGCCTCACAAGCCAAGGTTTCTGWCAGGTACTTTCAGGGAATACTCACGCTCTGGCTGAGATTTCCTAGAAGTATCAACCTCACCTCTCCTGCTTAGTCAGATCTCTTCTTCAGAATCAGTAGGTGTTACTTAGAAGTCTTACCCACTGTGTCAAGATAAGGAGATTACTGCTCTGGCATCCCTCTGATATGCAGTGCTTCACATTCTTGTCCAGTAATTTGCTTGGGTATGTCTCACTCACCTGTAAGGCCTATTCAATTCTCTGTCTATACAACAGGGCCCRTTGCAATTCTTGGGACATATTTGTGCTTTTCCTCATCTCCAAGGTGCAATTTGCTGCCATATCTTTAAGGAATTTTCATTCTGGGGTTTTGATGAAATTATTTTACAGCTGTCTCCCACGTGTGCTTGCAAATAGTTTCATCCCCCGTTGGCAACAGCTCAAGAATGACCTCTTGAAAGTCAGATGGTAGTTTGTGGGTTGTTGACCACCAGAATCAAACAAAAATATTTGGCTTTTTTTTTTTTTTTTTTTTTTTTTTTTTTTTTTTTTTTTTTTTTTTTTTTTTTTTTTTTTTTTNTTTTTTTTTTTTTTTTTTTTTTTTTTTTTTTTTTTTTTAATTAATAAGTTTGTTTTCATTTACACTTCTGTGTATGGTAAGGCCTCCCACTCCTCCGTGAAAATAGTTACCCTGAAGCCTGCTTTAGAAAGAAGTCTTAGTTCTGAATTGTGTGTAGGTTGCTTTTTGCTTTTTTCATCACAAATTGCAACATGTCAGCACCATGTACATTTGCACGTGTTCTGAGAAAGCTAAATTTTATTCTCTTGGGGAGTCCAATCACAAAGCACAGTGATCCATTTGACCTTTAGCTTTTAGCACCCTTACGTTCTTTTCCCTTTTCCAGACCTTGCTGGCAAATGTCAGCATGCTATAACATATCGGTTTAGGGATCTGTTTATGGCAGGTTCCACCCCTCACCCAAAGGTTTGAGGAGCTTTCCTATAAATAGCTAAATTGGTCATAGCTTTCTATATGCTTGTGGGCTTCCCTGATTGGCATTTTATAGTAATAAGGTCTCTTAGCTCACTATCTGGGTATGAACATCCAACTTGGGAGGAATTTTGGCTTTTTTTGTTGAAACCTTTTGTAAACAGGTCCACTATGCAAATTGAAATTCTTATGACTTTAGCAAGTGAAATTGGTTTTTTGAAATCAGGGTGTCTCCTTTTTCCTTTGTCTCTTACTTTACTTCCTTGAATGGGTCTTTGTCAACTTTTCCTTGTTAGCACCCTCTGGTTTCAGCTCTGGATAAAATTGCTATGTTGACTCATAATGCTGAGGGACTGGCTGCTCTTTTGAGTCTGGAGAGWTGAAAGTCTTCCTGTATCTGTGGCCTCTCCTTTCTCAGGTTAACAACAAACAGAAGGATTTTTCTGATTTCATTGAAAATTTTGTCTGTTGTTTTTAGCTGCTAAAGATTGCTATTGCAATCAGCAAATGTGGAACTGATGTTGAAAAATGCCACTTGTGATCCCCTGAATGTGAAATTTCTTGGATTTATTCTATGTGTTTTTAAATGGAGTTGGACTTTTTTTGAGGTTTTTTTGAGGTTTTTCGAGGTTTTTGGAAGTTTTTGGAGGTTTGCATTTGCCTATGTCTTTCAGCATTACACAATATTTTTTTCTCACAGTATTTGTCTTCATGCCACACAAGACATGTAACAGCTGTTGTGTATTACAGACTCTTGAATTTTAGGAAAGTCTTATCCATATCAAGTAGGCTGATAGGACACTTTTCCACAGGTTTACCTTCAAGTGATTGTTCATACACAAGTGCAAAGACTGAGCCCCTGATATTTAATGYATTATTACCTCTTTATCACAGGGAGTTTTCAAGACCTAACCTTGCTYCTGTTGAAGTGAACAATGTGGATACCGGTGGCTTTTCTTTGTAAAGCAGCAACAAGGAACCAAAGCTTCTTGGCTCCTACTGCATGAATTAAAACAGGGGCAGTTAAAAAACARTGGAGATGAAAACCTTCCTTCTGCCTACTTTTGAGAATTGTTAACGTTGGAAAAGACCTCTAAGGGTCACCAYGTTCAACAGTCAAGGTAGCACCACCACCATGTTCAGCATTAAAATATGTCCTCAGGTGCCTTATCCACACATTTTTGGAGCACTTTTAGGGATGGTGATTCCACCRTTTCCCTGGGAAAGCCTGTTCCAGTGCTTGATAATGCTTTCCATGAAGAAGCTTTTCCTAGTGTCCAAATTAAACCTCCTCTAGTACAACTTGAGACCATTTGCTCTCATSCTGTCACTTGTTACCTGGGAGAARAGACTGACCCCTCTCACTACACCAGCCTCTTTTCAGGCAGAGAGATGTAGAGAGTGATAAGGTTTCTCCTGACCCTCCTTTTCTCCAGGCTGGAYGCCACCATCTCTCAAATCATKTGCTATAGCACCATTGTGGGTCAASGTGAATTCCACTTTTGRAWATGAAGTAGTTCTGCTGTTTGCAGCACTTCCCTAAAAACMGTGATTTCTTCAAGGAGCTGACTCATGCTTGCAAAGGACAGAGTTGTGAGATTTTGCTTGCACAGCACCAGCAGCTACAGCATYTCTGCTCTGAGATAGGAAATACATCTGGAAACAAAGAGGGAATTTGCACCATCCACGAATGCTCTTTGCAGCCAGCTATAAAATGATTCGCAGACTGAGAACCAGGGACATAAATCGGTGCATAGATCTTAYGCTGTATTGCTTTATTTCTGTTCTTGGGAGTGAAGGTAGTTGAAATTCAGCGGCATCAGATGAAAAGATTAATTTATTGTTCAGTTGGGGCCAGTAATGTCAACTTTACAAAGGCTTCTGTTACAAGACTGTAACAGTCAAGTTAACCAAAGGCAGTTGAGGTGAACTTTGGCAGTGACCTTGATCAAAGAGTCAGACTGCTCAAGAGGCCTTTATTATTCTGATATGAATATAYAGCAGGTCACTGGGGCTTGTAAACCTACTGAGAGAAAGGCAAAACAATGTCCTACAACCGGTCTGTCTGTGATGGTGAACTTTTGACTTTATAGTAGCTGCATCTGGGGAAAAGTTAGCTTCGCTATTATGGAGTCTTCCATGCACGCGACCAGTTACTGAAAAATGAATGAACTTTGAAAATATTTTAAAGCAGAAAATCTTGAACAGAAAAAGCTGGTTTACAGCCTTTCTCTCTCCTCTTGTGAGAAAAATGTCATGTATGAAGAGAAAGGTGGCTGGAACCTGGAGTGTGGGAAACTGTGAGTGCCCGTCCTTGCTTGTGTCTCTTTGCAAATGTCCATAGCTTCCAGCCAGTAAAGYAGAAGTGGAGTTTGATTTTGAAAAACAGGCAATAATATGCAATACTTTTCTGTCATTAAAGTGAAATAAGAATGAGTACCTATTAGTATTGCAGCAATTTTCACAGGACTCACAAAGGAGAAAAAATACTTTTTTCTTTCTATGATACAACACTATGAATATAATACTGTGATTTTSTTTTCAAAATAAACATAAACCATCCAAGTTTCTAATTTAGCATTCTTTTGATGTTTCCAGCTTAATGACGGTGGCAAAGCAGCCCAAGCACACGTGGGGATTGGTGATGTGGTTCTCACCATTGATGGGATAAGCACGGATGGAATGACTCATCTAGAAGCACAAAACAAGATCAAGGCATGTACAGGCAATTTGAACATGACTCTGCAAAGGTGAGATGCCTTTTTCTTTATTTAAAGAGAATTGATCATCATCCTAACAGTTGTTTGGAGGATAAAAACATGTAAGTGGTTTGGCAAAGTGCATGGAGTTAAATGACAATGATTGAAAGATATGCTGCCATAGCCTGCAATYTGTCTTGATTTATAGCATTTTAGAAAACTTATTAGATGTTAATTATGTGATTTGACAAATACTTTTTYCAACCTTAGTTACTTATTCCATTTCCTCTTCAGCTTCAGTTTTGTTTAATTAATTTGTTTAAAAACAGGTCTTATTCTTTTTTGTTTTTCCTGGGCGATACGATTTTTTTTTTGGTCAAGTCCTACAGCACCATTTTTATTGGCTATCAGAATAATGGATGTAAATACTTAAGCCTTGAAGTAAATGGATGAAAACACTTCAGCTCAGTGTCTGGTCAATGTTTCCCAGAGTGATACCACTGTGTCACAAAGTAGCAGCCTCTCTGCTAAACTGAAGGGCCTGCTATGAGGCTACAGCTTGGTCCAGTCTCAGAGAGTTTATTGAATCCCAGCATACCTCTGATGTAGTCTGGGGCTATGCTTTGGGAGTTGTTGCAAGAAGGGAGCAGGATGCTCACATATGGGTTATTGGACCTGAAGCAGAAAGAGCAGCRGCACAAGGAATAAATTCCTTGAAGCTCTCAAAAGTCTCCTAGGGCTAAATATTGTTTTTTTTTTTTTGTTGCAAGATTGCTATTTTGATTAAATGATGTGATTGAACATCTTGGAGGAGATTGGCCTCTGAATCCATCACATAGGGAAAAACATATTTTTTTGTTTTCAAATAAAACAACAGGAGTTGTATGCCATGATTGCTTGCCTTCAGCAGTGCAAAATTCTTTGATGAGSACAGGTKGATTTTRTGGCAAATTATTCTGCCCTTAATGRAAGGACTGTGTCTSTTWGAGAGTTCATCAGTATTAGAATAAAAGAGATGATGTGGTTGCAGATCTGACAAACATCCAGGGTGTTGGTGCTTGTTCTCTGCCCACAGTGGCATGTATTTGAATGGTTGTGTGAGTGCTTTCTTCTGTAAGAGGCTGCAGTTCAGTCCTGCTTGTTGTTTCTTGTTTTTCCTGTTGTCCTGTGCATTGGTCCTTAGCTACCCTGAATAAGGGATTCCCTTTGCTCAATCTCAGGAAAAGGAGTAACTTGTGGTSTGGTTCATGCCTARGGCACCTCCCTSAGTGAAACTTGTAAAGGTGGCATTAAAAGTTTCTTGATGAAAGAGAGGCATTRTAGCAGCTCATTAAAAGAACTACATGTTGTATCTAGTGTGTCATTTGCTTTTCTGACTCCCAAGGAGACCAGCACGTTGCTTAGAAATGCCCTTTCCAGGACCCACTGAGTCACTCCAGCAGGAGGCTGGGTTGGCCCACTTTCTCCTGTCACCCTAATTGAATGGGCAGGGCTGATATCAGAGATAGGAAAGTCATGGCAGGTGTGTCCCAGTCAGGTAACAGCTTGTCTGAGGCTGCTTCTGGTTGGGTACGGGGATGAGTGGTTTGAAAATCAAATTAATCATGAGTTAGCCTGATCCCCTCCTGTTCTCATCCATCCTGCCTACTGTAGCATTTGACTCACCAYTGTTGGCTACCTGACAGCTGAAGACTAAGTCAGGATCAAACAGAGATCAAAGGAATAGCCTTGGTCCTGGCATCCTGGGGTGGCACAGATGTCCTGTCTTGTGGCTCTGCTGCTTTGCAGTCCCACGGTATCAGCTGTTCTAAATCTTGTCTGGATCCCAAAGATGTAGACAGTGTTCTCCTGGCTCCTCTGCCTGTGAAAACTTCTTTGCTCTGCTGTTTAACAGATCTGTTTTGGTAGTTTATYTGCTCTTTATAGCCTACAAGAAGATGCTTCTTGGAATTAGACTCATGCCAACTGAAGATGCTGGCTGCCCATGGGAAGGGAACTTCAGARTATAAACAAGGTGGCAAGATAAGCCATTTTAATATTGAGTGTTCCCCATGATTACATTCTTCTGTTCCTGTCTCTTCTCCCAAAATGAAACAAAAATAAATAAAATATTTCATGCTGTTACAGTTCACATGGAAGATTAAGGAGATACTGTCAATGTGAAGCAAAGCTGGCCATCAAAATATGGGGTGGTGCCATAAAACAGGAAAATTGAAGACATTTTGTTTTCTATTACTGCTTTTATTTATCTTTTGTTTTTGCACTTCTGAGATTTTATCTACTTTCACACAGTCTGCTGATAGTTTGAACTATCAAGCTGAACAGTGCAAGGATGTTCAGGCTAGTCTTGAAAGAGTAATCAGTTCTTAAAGTAAAACAGTCATTAGATGGTTGGTGGTGTTACTTTGAGGATGTACTCCAGCATCCCGGTTTGCACAGTGGTCAGGGCATGGCAGCACCTTGCCTTTTAAAGYTACAGAGGAAACTTCTCTGGTCTACATGGCAAAGGGAAGACAGGAATTTTTTTATTATCAGATTCCTTATTATAAATATTTTAACTTGATAGTTAATGTATTCACTTGGCTTCCTTTCTTCTTCATGTACAAAGCCAAAAAAAACCCCCAAAAAACCAAAATTAAAAAAACAAACAAACAAACAAACCAAAAAAGGGGCAAGAAGTAGCTTGCCAGGGAGGCTGGAAGGGATATTTAAAGTATTACCCTCAAAAATTTTACTGACAGGTTTAAAGCAGTCTACTCATGTAGGCAAATATGCATGCACCCCTTGTGGAAAACCAGTTTAGATGTTTTGTAACGTGTAATTGAATGTTGGCAAAATATTTGAAGGGCAAATAAAAACTTCTCTTTGTTCCGTGTAAGGCAATAYGCAGCTTGGTTTTTAAAATATGGAATTGCTGTGTGCCCTAGGAAGGAACTGAAGGTGCAGCTGACACAATTGTAAGCCACTTTGCTTAGAGAATGCTCAGATACAAATGGACAAAATTGTGCTTGCCAGCCCTGTGTGCAGTAGTAGGTGATAAAATTTGCATATGTTGCCATGTATTTTCAGGTGTATGTCTTTGAAATCAATGAGTGCTGTAAATACATCTCACTGTTTAATATTAAAGTTATATTTTTTTWAATTGTGAAATGAAATTTGAGTGTATGCATGCTATTTGCTCATTTTTCATATTACATGACTCAAAAATATGGAGTATGTTTTTCTTCATTTTGTAACATGTGATTTTAGCTTCTTGATAGATTTCCCCCCCGCTCCAATATTTGTTTCTATTCATCCCTCCCTGAGACCTTGTTCTTTTACACCCCAATATTTTATTTTCATCTAAAMCCATTCCAGTTTCCCATGAGGACAGATGGAAACCAGATGCTTGCTGAATATATTTTCAAGTCCAGTAACTTAGCATGGACTTTTATAAATAAATCTCTAAGTTGCTGAGCAACTAAAAGCCACAACCTATTTTTAAAATATTATTTTTGGGGACTGTTTCTCCAGACATTTCCCTTAATGATTCTTTGGGAGTGAGAAAGATAAAGAATTGTGAATTTCTACAGATGCATGAGGTCATGATACCCGTGAAACTTCTGGGAAAAGTGTCAGCAAAACAGGGATAAAAGTAAAACAGAAAAGATAGAATATTTTTGGGTTTGTTTATCTTATAATGACACMGAATTTATTTACCTCTCCATTTAGTAAAATGTCTGCACAGGTGTAGTATGATCTGTAAAGGAATTTTTTTCACTGTCTGTGAATTTAGTAATTTAGGATTAAAGTCATTGAGATTGCTTGGCTTGGGAAGTGAAAGGAGGATTCTCCAGGTTGTTTACTCCTTTATTGTTATATTGCAGTGCTTTTTGTGTGAAAAACTCTTTTTGGATGCAGTGAGCACCTTCTGCGGTTCTGATTCCAGATGTTCAGTGGAGAAACATGACTGTTAAAAAGCAATAGATGAATTTCAGTGATGGCCATGGGTTTGGGTAGATTTGATGGGTTTTTTTTCCCTAAACCTTTTTGAAGCATAGGGTTGCCCAATCATCAGAGGGCAAGGGCTAAGGCCTGCTGGGTATTTTTGATGTCCTACAGGGCTCASAGACAAAATTCAGATGAGCCATAAGGCTGGGTTCTCTAGCAGGTAAACTCAAAGGCCGTGAAATTTGTTTTACCTGCTACCTGACTATGAATCCTTACCATATTGCCTTCCCTTATATTTTTCGTTTTTCTTTCAGGAAACATGAAACCTATTCTTTTAGCTTAAGAACAGATGAAAWTCTCATGATTTGTGATGGGGTAACTGGAAAAAAAACGTTATGGATCATTTAAATTCTATTTTCTAAGGTAGTTTTTTCAAGTTAACCTACTTGGAAAGGGTTTTCAGCAGTAAGACTAGCTCACTATACTTTCCTCTCAGTATTTTTTATTTAATTCAGACTTCACTTTAGATGATGGTTAAAACTCATGTCTCAGTTTTATGAGTCATGGGTTCCTTGGATGGATATTTTGTTTCCCTAAACCATATATGGATGAGCTTTAAGAAAACTATGGTAAGAATGCATGCTGAAGTCTTACTTTTCTCCCAGCTTTAGTCATCATTTCCCCTGCACTGATATTTTGACTTTAGTTTTGTTCTTCACTGATTTGCTTTTTTATCAGAGTAGAAGCTTGATTTTCCCATTCTGGTTGAACAGATACAATAATTGGTTGACAGACACCACAGCTTCTGAGTAATTTTTTTAAAATCTGAAAACTTTTTTTTTTTGTTGTAATTCCTTTTGTAATACTGATTCTTAAATAACTTCTTTCAGGGATGTCAAAACTAGGTTCTGGATGATTAAGAAGATTAAAAAGAAATTATTTCTTTTTAACTGAGAGTGTTGAGACACAGAGAATTTATAGAACTCAGTTGAGGTTGTATGGCTAGGAATATATAAAGAAACTGTATAGTGGTAGTTCTAAGGCTATTCAAAATGTTTGGCAACTTCTTCYCCATTGGTAGTTTGTTACTTTCAATCATTAATGCTACTTTTCAGTAATTA